TAAAAATTAATAGGACTTAATCAAAAATATCTTGCCCAGGCCTCTCTTCACAATTGCCAGGCCTGAAATGTTTTTTAGTAGTTGAAAAGTAGATATTTTACCAAAAATTTAAGTATATTAAAACTGAGAAATTTGCTCTTAAAATCCTTATATGGATCTGCTTATGGACCTTATATTATCTGCTCCTGTAGTTTGAAAAATACACCATACATTACTTATTTTTAAATAAAAATTACAAGTAACTTGTGAATGTAGTTTTAGAGGTAGGATAATGAAGTTAACTTAAGATCTTATGAAGTACACACTAAAATAAAAAGGTCGAAATTTCAACCTTTAGGTAGGATGTGTCATGGCCTACTATATTATACGGCCGTATATGTTACATTTTAGAGGCCGATTCTAAGAGGCCTATTTTCGCACAAAAAAAGACAACAAGTTGAATAATAAAACTATTAATTTTAAACTTGCATATTTTGCAAAATAAAAAGCAACTTGCATAATAAGTAGAACTTGTATATATATATATATATATATATATATATATATATATATATATATATATATATATATATATATATATATATATATATATATATGCAAGTTATATTGGAATCTAGATCCTATTCCTGAAATTTTCTCCAGTGATTGCTTAAAATGTCCTTCCACATTACCATCCCCTATTGGTTTGAGAAGACCACCTAAAAGTCTTATTTTTCAAGAAGATGAACTTTGTTCTTTTTCTGAAAATGATAAAGTTACTGAATGGACCATGCTAAGTATTAAACATTCACCAGAAGGTTTCCAATTTAAAAAACATCTCAATTGTGTAGTTTATTATAATTTAATATTTGATCCTATAACATTTTTTCCATCATTTCTTGAATCAATAAAAATTGATTATTGCTTATGCGTAGCTTTGCAATATAAAGGAAATAATGTACCACTTCCTCCATGGTTATCTAAAGGTCGTAATTCTAAATTAACTAGTTTGAGTATGTTAGAAAATCTTGCAGCGTACACAAAAAATACCGCTTCTTCTAATAGAAATATACTTCTCGATAAAATCAATAGTCGAACATGCTATAAAGCCAAGGGTCAACCACAATATTCTGCTGATATGATTAGACATGCTTTATTATTAAGATATACATCTAAACAAGCATATGAAATTTTACTAGAATCATTTCCAATAACTTTCAATTTCTTTGTTAAATAAAGTAAAACAAGGCCGAGTTGATGCAATTAAGGCCGTTAAAACACTTCGTGAGAAAGGTTCAATACATGAAGATGTAATATTAATTGTAGATGAGTTTTATCTTCAGAAACAAGCACAATATTGTAGTGGTATTTATGTGGGTGCAGATGATACAGGTACTTTGCACAAAGGAGTTGTTGCATTTATGATAGTTATTTTAAAAAAATCAATTCCTCTCTCTATTAAAGCGATACCTGAAGTTAACATAAGTGGTAAATGGCTTTCAGATCAAATATCCGATTCTATTAGTTCTCTTTCGCTATCTGGTTTTAAAATTCGACGTGTTGTTACCGATAATCATAAATCGAATGTAAGTGCATTTAGTTTGCTTCGTTCCAAATTTGGTAATCAATCAAATTTCTTTATTAATCATCCTGATAGTCCAAAAACTAAAATATACTTATTTTATGATAGTGTTCATCTTGTTAAAAATTTCAGAAATAATTTATTACACTGTAAAAAATTTGTCTTTCCATCCTTTACATTCAATATAAAAGATGATTCTAATAATTGTCCAGCTGGTTATATTACTTGGGGAGATTTTCATCATCTACATTCTAAAGATGAGAAACTTGAAGGCAATTTACAAAAAGCTCCAAAAATTTCATATCAGAGTCTTCACCCTGGTAACAAAAAGCAAAACGTTTCTCTTGCACTATCAATTTTTGATGAAACAACAATTGCAGGTTTCAAGAGTTATTTTCCAGAACGTAAAGACATTTCTGGTTTTCTTACAATTTTTCACAAATGGTGGACTATTTCAAATTCTAAAGAGCTATTTAGCCCAAATAAACTTGGTAATGCGATTATTCTTAATGATGGTAAAGCACTTTTTTTTTGACAATTAGCTAATTGGATTGAACTTTGGCAAAAATCTCCATATTTTACCTTATCACGACAAACATCATGGGCTCTCATCACAACTCTGCGTTCTCAAGCAATGCTTATAGATGACCTTATTGAAAAAGGATATTTATAAGTACTTACTTCACGGCTTCAAAGTGACCCAATGCAAACCTTTGCTAGCTACAGATACAAGCAATATAATTATTTGTCCATATCTACAAATACTTTCCAGAGGTGGTCTTACAGTACCATCACTTTCACTTAAAGATTTTACATTTGGATGTTTTGCAGTCTTAGATAACCTTTCAGATTTAATAACTAAACAAGGTGCTAATGTCAAAGACGTATCAAGCTTTGTTTTATCAAAATACTTTCCAACAGTTTGTTTTACCTGTGATATACACAAAAAATGGGGTTTTAATTTTGCTTCTAAAATCATGTTTTTTTTAACAATTAGCAGAACCTAATCAATGCTACTGTACGAAAAGATGCTGTTAAACGTTTTAAAAGTAGACAGAGAGAAAAATAACCCTATATATCTATATCCCTATATATATATATATATATATATATATATATATATATATATATATATATATATATATATATATATATATATATATATATATATATATATATATATATATATATATATATTATATATATATATTATATAAATATATATATATATATTTATATATATATATATATATATATATATATATATATATATTTATATATATATATATTATATATATATATATATATATATATATATATATATATATATATTATATATATATATATATATAATATATATATATATATATATATATATATATATATATATATATATATATAATATATATATATATATATCTTTATAACTTTATATTTATATATATATATATATATATATATATATATATATATATATATATATATATATATATATATATATATATATATATATTATATATATATATATATAATATATATATATAGATCTTTATATATATATATATATATATATATATATATATATATATATATATATATATATATATATATATATATATATATATATATATATATATATATATATATATATATATATATATATATATATATATATATTAACATAAAGATAGATAAAACAATAAAAGAACATAAATTTAAACCTTGGTTTTCTTTGTAAATTTCTTTGTAAAAATCGTGTTGTCAATTTAAATGTATAATGTACAAATATAAAAATATATATTAGATAACAATACATGTATAATATACATAGATATATATGTTTATAAATACACAAATCTCTATGATTAATTATCGCTGATGAATACACTTTTCTTTGTACTCGAAATTACATTTAGTCTGGATGATGAGTTTTTTTCTCTGTAATTGCGCAGCCATCTTTTTAATAAATAGGCCTCTTAGAATCGGCCTCTAAAATGTAACATATACGGCCGTATAATATAGTAGGCCATGGATGTGTGATATACCCTTAGTAAAGTATAATTTTCAACTTTTTAAGGCAGAAAATTATACCTTTAAAGTAGAAAAGTGTATGAACAACCATTGTTTAAAATATAATTTTTTACTTTAAAAGCTTTTTAAAGGTAGAAAACCTTTTTAACCTTTTAAAGGTAGAAAATAACACCTTACTAAGGTATATCACATCCTTATATAGTATATCACATATCCTTATATAGATTATCCCTATATAGAAACTTATACCTTTTTTTTTTAGTGTAAAATTAATTAAAAATAAATATTTCGGTCAACCAAATCAGAATTATCTTAAATAGTTGTATGTTTTACCTGACCAATGCACTACTACAAGGTAACGTGGGAAAGGTGCACAGGAGGCATGATGATCTTCTTGTTGAAGAATTTAATAGTGATACAACGATTCTATTTGATTAAAAACATAAGTAAAAAATGATAAAATAAAAAGTGACGAAACAAGAATAAAATGATACAGGGATGAAAAAAATGTAAAGAGCTTCTTGATTATAATTGTTAAAATAAAAATTTTATTCTTGGTTAAAAAAAAACTTTACCCAGGTAATAGTTTTTTTCAAAACTGGGTAATCCAGTTTTAATGCAATAAAATTCAAATAATATTTCTATAAAATAATTATAAATAATATTATAAATAATATTTATGGTAATAGATTTGATATTATTAGAGACCGGTCTATTTTTTACCTAATGTTATGCTCCCTAATAAATCCCAAAATATCTTAATATTTTATAAACCTCCTAAAAAGACCTAAATTCTCCCAAAATCTCCTCATTTAAACTTGTGTTTTGAGCTTTAAGTTTTCTTTCGAATATTCAACTTAAACTTTCATTTTTGAATAATATTTAAATTTGATTAAAAAATTTTTTAAATCTTCCTAACCAAATAATCTTAACTTTTTTATTAGTTTTTTTAAGTTTTTCGATAAAATCTCCTAGAAAGCCCTTAACGATCTCCTAAAATCTCCTAAGTTCTTCTGATTTTTTAACTCGAAAACAATCTGTTAAGGGTCTTGCGCTACCCCTAAATTAAATTTTTATGAAGAAATATTTGTAAATTGTTACAAATTATTGTTTATTAGTTTATTGTATTATATAAAACGCTTTTAGAGGGTTTAAGAGCAGATATGTCTTTAATATGTTGCTTTAATAGCTACCCTAATATAAATTCATATATATATATATATATATATATATATATATATATATATATATATATATATATATATATATATATATATATATATATATATATATATATATATATATATATATATATATATATATATATGCATATATGCATATACACATTTTTTTTTTTTTATATCTTGAATTTTTTTTTTTTAATTAAAAAAACTTTTGTTTTTTTAAGGTTTTGGAGGCTCCATTATGTGGTGCTACAAAAGCACGAATTACATCTGAAGATACATCATTCAAAAAATTTTATGAGCGAGGTGATCTTCCTGTAGCAATAGAACATGACACAAAAGGAAATAAAATTGCCTGGAAAGTTGAAATTGAAAAATTGGATTATTCTTATTATCTTCCTATGTTTTTTGATGGGCTCAAAAATACAAAACATCCATATTGTTTTTTTGCAAGTCAAGGAATTCATGACATGTTGGAGCACGGAGGAGAAAAAATATTAGATGTCATACCGCAGTTGATTATTCCGATTCGTGATGCTTTAGAAACTAGAAATCATGATGTGGTTTGCACTACTCTTAAAGTATTGCAACACCTTGTTGCTTCACACGATTTAATTGGCAGAGCCTTATTGCCTTACTATCGGCAAATTCTTCCCGTAATCAATATCTTTAAAAATAAAAATGTTAATACTGGTGACGAAATTGATTACAGCCAACAAAAACGTGAAAATATTGGCGACCTAATTAATGAAACACTTGAGTTGTTTGAAAGACATGGTGGGGAAGATGCATTTATTAACATAAAGTATATGATTCCAACGTATGAATCATGTATGTTCAATTAAAATTGTGTTTTAAATACGGATTGTAAAAACAGAAGTAGTAATCAAAAGAATTTAGTAAATCATAAGCAAGATACAAATAATGAAATAGTAATAATACGAAACCAATATATAGAGAATTAACAATTTTATATAATTTTTTGATAATAATTACAATAAAGAGTAATAATATTAATAATGATTCCTAAATTGAATTATTAGTTTTGTATACATAACAAAAATATAATTTGTAAATTTGTGATAATTACAAATTATATGATTATAATTTATAAATACATACGCTTTAATATTTAGTTCGGCGCTCCTTTTCAGTTCAAAATGAAATGTTATTATGTAATATATAATTTGTATTTATAAAGAATTATAAAAGATAAATTTAACTAATTATAAAGAAATATAAAAGATAAATTTAACTAATTATAAAGAATTATAAAAGATAAATTTAACTAATTATAAAGAATTATAAAAGATAAATTTAACTAATTATAAAGAATTATAAAAGATAAATTTAACTAATTATAAAGAAATATAAAAGATAAATTTAACTAATTATAAAGAATTATAAAAGATAAATTTAACTAATTATAAAGAATTATAAAAGATAAATTTAACTAATTATAAAGAATTATAAAAGATAAATTTAACTAATTATAAAGAATTATAAAAGATAAATTTAACTAATTATAAAGAATTATAAAAGATAAATTTAACTAATTATAAAGAAATATAAAAGATAAATTTAACTAATTATAAAGAATTATAAAAGATAAATTTAACTAATTATAAAGAATTATAAAAGATAAATTTAACTAATTATAAAGAAATATAAAAGATAAATTTAACTAATTATAAAGAATTATAAAAGATAAATTTAACTAATTATAAAGAATTATAAAAGATAAATTTAACTAATTATAAAGAATTATAAAAGATAAATTTAACTAATTATAAAGAATTATAAAAGATAAATTTAACTAATTATAAAGAATTATAAAAAGTAGTAAGAAAATTGCCAATTAAGAGGGATTTTTATTTTCAACCAAATTTCCAACCATAAATTAATATTAATATTGAGGTTAACATTGAACCATATTGTGTATAAATTATTTAGATAAGAAATAATTTTTTATTTTAAAAAAATTGATTTTTTAAAATAAGTGTTAATTTTTATTTCTTGTTATGAAATATTACGAAAAATTCTTGCATGACGTCACGTGACTTTCTTGCTTCTTATTTATACCCTAATTCATGTAAATATTTAATTACTTCAAGGCGACCATTTTCTGCAGCTTTATTAATTGCATTTTTTGTTCCTTTATACCCTAATTCATGTAAATATTTAATTACTTCAAGATGACCATTTTCTGCAGCTAAATCAAATGCCCATTCAGAACCTTTATACCCTAATTCATGTAAATATTTTAATATTTCAAGGTGACCATTTTTTGCAGTATTCTTAAATACCCAATTTAAACATCTATATCCTTTTGAATGTAAATATTTTACTACTTCAAGATGACCATTTTCTGCAGCTTTATTAATTGCATTGTTGATAACTTTATATACTAAAGAATGTAAATATTTTACTACTTCAAGGTGACCATTTTCTGCAGCATAAATAATTGACCAATCTGTTACTTTATACCCTTTTGAATGTAAATACTTTACTACTTCAAGGTGACCATTTTCTGCAGCACGATGAATTGCATCTTCTGTACCTTTATACCCTAATTCATGTAAATATATAATTACTTCAAGGTGACCATTTCTAGCAGCATTATTAATTGTACATTTTTCTTCTCCTATATATCCTAACGAATCTAAATATTTAAGTACTTCTTCTGTACTTTTTTTACCTAATTGAATTAATAAAGTAATAATATCATTTCTTCCTATGCTTGTTGCAAAGTCAACTTTATTTTCATCATTCTTATACCCATACTTTTTTAATATTGCAGTAATATAATATACCTGAGTTGAAGGTTTTATTAAAAATTTATTATTTTCAATATTATTTTCTTGATTCATTCTTTTTTATATACACAAGAAAATTATTTAACTCATTTTCAAATTTTTTTTTATTTTTTTTAATGCGCATGCGCTAAGATTTACTTAAGCATAGTAGTAGCATTGTCCTAACAATAAAGTATAAGTTCCAGATTGACCAACTTGTGCATCACCACAGTTGAGTGTCACTACCATTCTTCTACCACTACCAACACTAGGCATTCCTTCAGATTGATCAAAATTTCTATAGAATGAAATTGTAGTTCCTGAAACAATTTCACTAGTAGATTGATACAATAATCCTGATGATGTATTATTAAAAGAGGTTAAATTTGCACCACTCCATGAAGATAAGTAAAAATCTTCTAAACCAGATGAAATGAAAATGCATCTACTGTTAACATCATATCCAGAAAATGTTTTATAATTATTATCGCTATAGGGTGTCCAAGGAGTAATAACTGAGTTACTATTTATAGGAGAACTATATCCATCGTATATGCGTACTCTTGATTCTCCCCAGTTACTAACTCCTCCAACAACATGCATTCTAATGTATTTCAAATACACTCCGTTTCCTTTATCCATAGCATCCATTAGCATATATTCATTTCCATAAGTTGCATTAGTAAATCTAAATACTGAGGAGTAAAGTTTAAGTGATGAAATGGATCGAGGTATTAGCGGATTAAAACTAGTTAATGTTTGTTGTATCGACGAATTTCTTGTGATAAAAGGCTGTAACCAAAATGTCACTGAATTGCCTGTTGTGTTGTATAATTGTATGTAAAAACTTGATGTAAAAGGAAGATCTAGTGTAAAATATCCTCCTAATCCAGTACTACTGTATACATTACATCCTTGTAAAGAGTTAGCATAAAAGGGTCCTCCAAGTGGTGAAAACAACATATCACAAGCTAAAGCTGTATTATTTATTCCAGTACCTCCTGCAGAAGTAGCATCATTACCTATGCATAGTTCATTATCCGCGTATATTTTTAAAAATAATGAACCAGGTACAGTTTTTCCACTGCTAGCTGTTCCCATAAATGCAATCCATAGTTTTCTAAGAATTCCTGAACTACCACTATAACTATAAATAGTGTATGATCCTGGAGTGCCATATATGGTTTGAAATTTTAATCCAAAACATGTTAAACTTGTATTGGGAATGATATCTAAACTTTGATTTTGTATATCATCAACATAATGCTTTGTAGCAGCATCTTGAGGTTGAGTAGGATCAACTACATTGATAAGTTTATTTGTATTTAAATTTATATTAGCAGTTGCAGGATTATAACCATCAGTTCTTAGATATAAATTACTAGAAATCTGATTATTATCGACATAATGTTTTGTAGCTGCATCTTGTGCATTAGTAGGATCAACTACATTGATCAATTTATGTGAGTTTAAATTAATATTTGCATTCATACTATTAGTTCCATCTAATTTTAGACATGCACTGCTAGAAGTTTGATTATTGTCTACATAATTTTTCGTAGCTGCATCTTGTGCATCTGTAGGATCAGCTACATTGATTAATTTATGTGAATTTAAATCAACATCAGTAGTGGCTGTATTGCCAACATTAATGTTGATATTTAATCCATCTGTTGTGTAACCATATAATGAATTACTACCGGCTATATTCATACTCATTTTTTTATATACTATATTTTTTTTAATTCAATATAATGAGTTTTCAATACTTTGAAAATCAACACCTTCATCAAGCTTTTTTAATACATAAAGACACAAGTGTCCGCAAAAGGAAGTGTCTCCAAACTGAATTCTTTTACTATTATAATAAACAGGACTGTGTAAATATTGAACAAGTTCAACTGGAGGTGGTAGTGCATAAGAATCAAAACTTAATTTTTCTTCTCCATCTTTATACCAGCAAATCCAATGAAATCCATTCGTACTTGAATCTCCAGTATTTAATATTCCACATTCTTTGTTTTGTGTATTTTTAGGTAATTCATCTCTTACAAATACACCTCTAAAATTTTTAATTTTTAATTTTTTTGCTGCTTTTATTAATTGAAAGTTTGTTAAGGGTACATTTGGCAATATAATTCCTTCAACATTGATATGTTTGTCCATTTTTATTACTTTATTAGATTTTTTAGATCTTTTTAAGATATAAAAAATAACTTACCTGTTTGCCTGCCTGCCTGCCTGCCTGTTTATTTCCAATCAATCTGAAATGAAAAGTTGGGTTCTGAAGGAATCAATGTTTTATTCTCTTTTAATTTATAATGTCCATATGCTAATGTGTGAATACCATCTTCTTGAATTACTCTTTTATCATCTTCTGCACTCAATGCTATTTTGTTTATTTCTTCAGTATAAACATCATGTAAATGAGATCTTATGACATTCATTTTTCTCATTTGATCTTTCTTATTTATAAGGCAGTCTTTATAATCTTCATGTGTAATATAATTTTTTACTACATTTCTCTTTACTCCTTTACATCTCTTTTTATCTTCTTCATCTATTTTGTAAGAATACAACTTTGATCTGAGTCCAATAAATTCCGTAATTTGTTTTCCTGCTGATTCATCTTTAAACATTCCTATTACTTTCTTATTTACACCAACTTTAAATCCATTTTGAACAGCTGGATGATCTTTATTAAATTCACTTGTATCAAATTTACTTTCAATATCATTAGAAATATCTTTATAAAAATCTTCTGTTTTTATTTCATAGATTAATGAATCTGTATCTGTATATAATAGTTTAGCTTTATCTCCATATTTATTTTTCATGTAATCATAATGAAATTCGTACATTAGTGTTTTGCTCAAATCTAAAATACACATACCCAAGTAAATGGGTTTGTTATAAACTAGTTTTGTTCTTTTCATATGTATTGCAATTAAATTTTCATCAAATATCGTTCTACTTTCATAATTTGGTTTTGATGATAATTTAATAGCTTCTTCTCTTTTAGAAACCAATCTCACATCAACTCTGTTTTCAATGTTCTCCATTGTCTTTCCAAACACTGAATTGTTCATAAGTTTAAAAAAGTCTTTTTCAAAGTCATTTGTTGCTTTTGTTCTTAGATTTGTATTGAGTTCAATGTATTTACTCAACCATGCACTTTCTTCAAACTTTATTCCTCTATGAATTTTTGTTATTTTCATTCCTAATCTTTCATACAGTTTCAAGTTTTCATAGTGGATGATATAATTTTTCTTATGATTTAAATTAGGTATTAATTTATCAACTTTGTCTATTTTTAATCTTT